TTTACTTTTGTTGCTCTCAGTTTCAATTTCACCATTATTACACCTTTTTGTCTTTGTGAACCTTCACCTGCCATCCATTTAATCATTGCTGTTTTTTTCTGTGCTTATCTGATCTTCAGTATATATGAATGTTAAATTTACCAAGTCTTCTTTCTTCTTTATATCTTACCAGAAATTTAGCTGCCTCTATCTGATTGTTAACAACAGTTTCCTTGCCGTAACTGTTATCCTAAGTACTTTTTCGCTACCCAAATATTTTGCGACAGCATTCGTCGACAAAATCATATCTCTGTCGGTTCATCGTCTGTGGGGACATTATCCAGCAGATAAATAAGAGATTAGATATTAGATAAGCCTCTTTGGGAAAGATATTAGGATAATCCCAAACATAGTAGCAACAAACCGCTTGCATCAAAGGAATTCAGTAAATATACTAAAATAGAAAGGGGTGTAGGACAAGGATGTATTTACTCACCGAACATTCGACCTAAACAGTGAAACGATTCTGATAGGATTAGAAGTCCTGCCAGGATTTATTATTGGAGGCCACAATTTTAACAACATACAATATTCAAATGATACAGTATTGATAGTAGGCACAGAAAGAGGACTACAAGAACACCTACCGAAACTAAGAGGGAAAGCGAGAAGAAAGGACTAAATGTCAATTGCAAAAAGACAGATTGCATAGTTGTTAGCAAAAGGAACAGCTCAACATGCAAATTACAAATTGGAGATGCCAAAATGAAACGAGCACAAAAATGTAAATATCTGGGAAGTGTTTGAACAGAGGACGGAAAGTGGGACACTGAAATCCGATAGCACATTGGGATAAAAAAAGGAGGCCTTCCAAAACCTAAGCAAAGTATTAAGAAACAGGAAAATATTGTTAGAAACAAAGGAATAGTTCTCCTATATGACAGTGAATGCTGAACAATCTCCTCACATATGAAAAAGAAACTTGAAGCAACAGAAATGTGGTTCTACAGGAGGATGCTTAAATATGAACCGGACATGTGAGAAACTTCGAAATTTTAAAGAAAATGGAAACAAAAATGACCCTTAATCTTAACATCAGAAAGATACAATTGACATTTCTAGGGCAGATAAGGTTTTGACTCGAAAAATTCATCATGCTACTTTTTAATCTCCACATTTTTGTTGAAATAAACACTCCTCAAATTGTTAGAAAAAGATTGAAAAAGATGCTAGTCTGAACGGGCTAAATCATAACAATATGGTGTGTGCGGCAGAAGTTTACAACCGAGCTATTTGGTTGGTCATGTTAGCGACGTGAGGGCGAGCATTGTTATTTTGACTAATCACACTTTATCGCATGTCAGGTCTTTTCAGCTGGAGTGTTCATTTGTTTAACATACAAATTTATTTTTGACTGGTCGTTTTCAAGTATTTCTTCGTATAGAGTAAAAAGGTCTCGAGCAGTTTTTGCAGTTTCGTGATCTTGACTAAAAGCAAAGAGAAGATGTAGAAGATGCTTATTATTGTCTACTTAGCATTTCATCTCAAAGGAGTGTCTAATCTGAAATAAAAATTCAGTAACTTTAGACAAGTGTTTCACAGGATGACCAGAGTTATCAAGAAATCAAAAATGCTACAAAAGATTATTCTTGGATATCATTCGCAGAACATCAAGAAAAAACCAACGAATATAAGTAACAATATAATATATGTGTGGCTGGTTACGGATGTGCAGTAAGGTAACAACTTTGTATATATGTGAATTCGTTATTATTCATCTTTTATATGCCGTGTCCCTTCAGGACATAAGTGATCATGATTCTCCGCAACTTCCTATTTTTTGTCGCACTAAGCAATATTTATCCCTATCTCTTTTCTGCCATCCAGCTCGTTAGGTAAGTCACGAGATATTTTCCTCTGTCCCTCTTGTCTTTAATATGCTCTGTGAGTGTGAAATTCTCCAAGCCTTTTTTCTCATTATATGGCTTAAAATGTCAACTGTCTCTGTCTAATTTTAAGTACAGTTGTTGTTGTTCGTATTTTCCTTAAAACGTCCTCGTTGCTTGCATGTTTCTTCTGTAGAACGACATTTCTGCTGCCACTAAATTTTCGTCTTTTAAGAAATTGTCGGTTATTCACTCATAGAAGGATTGATATTAAACTACTTCTTTGTTTCTATTGAAATGTTTCTGTTTTTTTTAGTATTTAGCTTGTAAGACATCTTTCGCTATTCCAAGGACCATTCATATTTCTCTGTAAAGAATTCCTTTAGATCTTATAGTAGCTTGTTATATTATGTTGATTTGTAGGTAGTTACTGTTTAGTGGGCATTTGTACTTTGTTCTACAGTTGCAGGTAGTGGCTATTGCTGTTTGTGGGGTACTGATGATGGTTCTTGTGTTATCATGAATTCTAGAATATTTTCGGTGCGGTTGTATATGTCTAGGCTGTTTAGAATGGTAAGCATTTTTGCTGTTACTTTTGAACCAATATATGTTTTTTATGGCATGTATGTTGCGCAACCATCCATCATATTTTCCTTCATTTATTGTGACAAGCGAGCAGCGAGGCATTCTGTCAGGATATCTTGTTAGGAAACAGTGTGCAAAAAAATTGGATTTAACCTACCCAAGGGCATCAGTGTAGAGTAAACATAAGCAGTGGAGTTGTGTAGTTGGCACAGCACGCTGAAATAATATTTTTTTCTAAATTAGGTTAAACGCTTCAGTTCATGAGTAGCCAATAAATTTTATTAAATATTATAATTTAATAGCGGAGGGCTCCTAAGAAAATTCATGTTAAATTGCCCCCCCCCTACGTAAGCCTAAAGAAAATATACGCATACCACAAGATATCTTAAAATTATCAATTTAAAAAAATATCTAAGTGCTTAATCGATAGTAACACATGCAAAAAAAGAACCCCAGATTCCAAATGTTTAAAAATTCTCATTTAAATTTCAAGAAATCACGAGGTATGAACATCTTTTGTGTTGGCTTACGTATGGAGATGAATTTACTATGAATATGGATGTGTGGGTGGTTTAATATATAGCGGCTCGGAATATAAAATCTGAGAGTCGGGTTTGTTACACTCTCTCAATCGCAAATAAACTTGGGCAATGTTGGAATTTATTTCCTCAACCCAGCTATGGTTTAAATAGCAGAACTTTTATCTGGAAAAAATGTTTATTATTCTCAAAAAAAAAAAAAAATTAATACAATATTCACCAGCAAAAAAATTATTCTTAAAATCCAAATATTTGGCTTTTAAAAGTGTTGATAAGCCACAAAAAATAAAATAAAACAAATAAACTAATTGAAATTAATTTATGTCTGGAGTTTTAATTTATATTAATATGAGAAAAAATTTATGAAAAAGTAATTACTTTTTGTTACATTATACATTATTACAACCCTATCCCAGAAGCAAAGGATATTCAGTTTATCCTACCGGGATTCAGCATTGGCGGTCACAGTCTTACCAATATAAGATACGCAGATGACACAGTACTGATAGCAGACACGGAAAAGAAACTACAAAACGTTCTACAGAATATAGCAGAGAGCGTAAAGAAGTTACTAATCCTAAACTACAAGACAAAATGCATAATCATCAGTAAAAAGCTGAGCTCTAAATGCGATTGATTTTAGTGTCGGGGGCACTAAAATCAAGCAGGTGCGGAAGGTTAAATATATGGGGAGTGTTTTGACGGAGGACGGTAAGTGCGACGCTGAGATCCGAAGACGTATTGGGATGGCCAAGGACGCATTCCAAAAGCTGGGCAGAGTATTGCGAAAAAGGAGCATTTCTTTAGTAACAAAGTAAAGAGTACTAAGATGCTACGTGATCTCTGACCTCGTTTATGGCAGCGAAAGATGAAGAAGAGACTCGAGGCAACGAAGATATGGTTCTACAGAAGGATGCTAATGATATCATGGACCGAGCGTGTGAGCAACGATGATGCTTCGGAGAGGATGCAAACAAGGAGGAGGCTTAGGCTTAACATCAGGAAGAGGCAGCTGAAATTTCTGGGACACCTAATGAGAAAGGAGGGCCTGGAGACTCTGATACTCACAGGTCGAATATAGAGAAAGAGAGACAAGAGTAATCAATGCATGTCATACCTGGAGGGCTTAAGCAAGTGGATGACAGAGTAGTTTGGGTCAGGTGGCAGAGGGACGAAACGTATTGAGAGCTACAAGGGCTAGGGGAAAAGTGGAGAGCCATGATCGCCTACGTCCTAAAAGGAAATGGAACATAAAAAGAAAAGAAAGAATAGGGCTTTTCGTGTTTGTTATCAGAATGTATCGAATTTCTGCACAAAAATCGTGTGATACCTGCTTATTGGCTTCTCGACCAAGAAACAGCTAAAGTGTTATGTTCTTTAAAATATATTCTATAACGTATGCATTTGTGGACGTATACATGCAAGCATGCCTGCGTCTGATTGTATACAGTTGTATATATGTTTGAAGGCGCTAAGTCTGGACGCATTTTTTTCTTTATTTATTTCGTTCGATTTTGTTTGTCGTTAAAATTTGTTTCGGTGACAGATTGGTTAAATAGAAGTGTAGTGAAAAAGGCGAGAACAAAAAATGATAACAAAAATACAAATATGGCTAGTTTTCGTGATGAGAACGAGGAAGACGAAAAGTCTCATCAAAATTGTCCACACAGTTTAGGTGGCAGGTTGAGCCCAAAGATCATATTTAAAAAAGAAAGTCAGTAAAAATAACATCCAAATAAAAAAGGACAGACTAAATAACATTGCAGATAAAAAAAATTTAAAAAAAAAACGTTTTTTTAAAAAATAATTAAATTTAACAGTTTCGTCCGATGCCTGAGGGATATTGAAGAAAATAAATATAAAACAAACGTTATTTTCAGCTTGAGAGGGTGTTGAAGTGTAGAGGTGAATGTATTCATTATTCGAATGCATAATTTTTTTCTATTTTTGGACTAAAGATATCAGGCGGGAAAAGTTTTCAAAAAGGAATTTGATTATAATCTTCAGTCGTATGACATTTACAAAAAATGTCGATAAACTGTTTTTAAATGCTCAGCAGTTTTTTTTTTTTCTGGTTCATGATCTTCCTACAGAGGTCATCCTCGTTAAATTAGCTTTATTTTACTATTGTAGCCCAGCACCATCTAATTTATTCTTCTTCTTTCCTCCTCCCCCCTCATCACCTTGTTTTCCCTCTCTGTCACCATCTTCCTCCTTTTTCCTCATCTTATTCTCAATGTTCTCTCCTTTTTTTCCTTTTCTTTTTCCAGCTGTCTCAATGCCTTCTCTTCTTGTCCTCCTTTTTCTCATCTCTTTGTCCTCTTTCTCACTTCTCTGTTTTTCCTCAATCTTCTTTACTCTTCATCCTTATTCACTCACTACACATCACTCGTTTCTTTGTAATTTGCATCTATTATTTTATTTTACCTTTTTTATCGTGCCACCTCCCTCATCACATTGCCCTTTTCCTCGTCCAGCACCCCTTTGCTTTTCTCCACCTACACGTTTTATTCTTTCAATTTTTTTCCTCTCTTTACTTTCGTTTTTCGCTTCCTCTTTCAACTTTTCTTTATTTTCCAGTCGTCTTCTCCCTCTTTTCTTCTTCACTTTTAACTCCTCCTTCATCCGGTGCTCTTCCTCCCCTTTCTCCTTATTTATAGTCCATCTCACCCTACTACTTTTCTTCATCACTTACTGCTTTCTTTCTTCATTTCATCCTGTTTACTTTCTTCATCTCCTCCTGCTTCCTTTTTTCATCCCCCTCTGCTTCTTTTCTTCATCTCTTTCTGTTGCTTTTCTTCATCTCCTCCTGCTTCTTTTCTTCATCTCCTCCTGCTTCCCTTTCTTTATCTCCTTCTGTTGCCTTTTTATCACCTTCTGTTGCCTTTCTTTATCTCTTCCTGCTCCTTTTCTTCATCTCCTTCTGTTGCCTTTCTTCATCTCCTCCTGTTGCCTTTCTTCATCTCCTCCTGTTGCCTTCCTTCATCTCCTCCTGCTTCCTTTCTTCCTCTCCTGCTTCCTTTCTTCCTCTCCTGCTTCTTTCTTCATCTTCTCCTGCTCCTTTCTAAATATCCTCTTGCTTCCTTTCTTCATCAGGACTTGTTTCGTTTCTTTTCTTCGTCCTCTAATTAAGCTTCTTCCCCCAACTTCTACATTTTCACCTTCTGACAAATTGATTTACTTTTAATCTCTTCTTTGTTTTTTTTTTCTTTTATTCCCACCATCGATTTTATTTCTTCCATTATTTGCTTCTCCCTAAATATTTTTCTTTCTTCTTTATCAAACCATTCTTTCTTCTATTGTTCATTTACTCATTTTCCTCTCCTTCCCATATTTTTAGATTTCCTCTTCTTCCCTCTCATGAAACTGGACAGTTTTATATTTCATCGTTTTGAATATTCCGATTCATTTCGGTTTTAAATCAATCCACCCTCCGAGGAGATATCTGGTTGTTTTTTTTTCTCTGTTAGCTTGTATACTGCATTGTGCTATTATTAACTTTGCAATAATTGGTGATATTATGTATGTTCATTGTCTTAGTTTTATTGACAAGAATTTTGCTCAATATTAGTGGTATTTTTAGATGTAAACATTATATAAGCTAACAGAGAAAAATCCCAGAGATCTCCTCGGTGTGGGCTGATTTAAAATATATCAACACTGAATGATGACTCTCAAAATCATCTTAATCGATCACCAGAACATACACACACACACACGTGTGTGTATGGCATGTTCCAGTATAACAGTTTATAATAAATATTTATTGCTCTACTCTTGTATTGAACCCTTTTGTAGATTAATGTTATGAACGTTGGAATTTATATTCTTTTCGTTCTTTTACATTTAAATTTTATATATATATATATATATATACCATTAAAATAATGGTTAATTGCTTCATCCTATCTGCTATATCTTCTTTCTCATCTGTTGACTCTATTTTTCTCTAATATGCAATGTTTTATGAAACAATTTCGCGAATTCTTATACTTCAAAAATGTTTTCTTCCGGAAAAAAATATACAATGCGTGATTTATTGAAAGCAAAGAAAAAAGTAAAATTATCAGGGATTGTCTATTGTCTCGAATGCTTGACTGATAAGCAAGCATTTCCTGCATCGAGAGTCAGCGGGTGGAGGTGTACTATTATTCATGAACTTAGAGTGACCCGCGTGAAAAACTCTAGAATTGAATAAATCTTCTCATGCATGCAAACTTCATAAAAATTATTGATGCATCGAGCGATTGTACACCATTTAACTTTCAACAAAGATAAACTCATGGCGCCTCAGCACAAAGCCGTGGTTAGCGAAATAGTCTGATTGGCCATTACTATTGACTGATTAGTTCAATCCTGACTGGGAATACCATATTTGCTCCCGTTTTTTTTTTTTTTTTGACTTAGAAACTTTTTTTTTATTTATAACATTTTGTTTTTTATTTAACGTCTTTTTTATATATCAGTTGATATATAAAAATATTACAATGGTCTATCATATATACACTAGTGTACATAATACCTCATTTCAGAAATATAGACAGGTTTATTATATATATATATATATATATATATATATATATAAATTGCGCATCCACTTGTATCCGCGGACGCCAGTCTAGGGTTAATCCCCATTGTAGTCCCCTGCTTAGGCATATTTGTATTTGTTCAACACTCACAGAGCCCACATGCAACTATGCTGAGCGGGTCTTAGTTACAGTTTCTGAGAAAGAGAGCGCGCACTATCTAGTGTGATCAGTAGTCTTAACAATTCTAGCACGCACAAACCCCAGGTCATGATGACTTGTAACTTCGTGCTAACACAACCACTGGCGACGACGCAATTTCACCCACAGGACTTGGGTCAAACCGTGGTATGCTTTCAAACACTTTTTAAGGGTTTCGCACCGCCTCTAGATCGATAACATCAAGAAGTCACCATCCTGAGCCCGGGTCTCCTGGTTTAGAAAGCGAACGTTCTAACCACTCAGACACGTGCGTGCATATATATATATAAATATAATTATTTATTCAAAATTTATTCTACATTCAACATCATCACTTGATAAGACCCCAGAACTGTTGAATCAAAATGGCTATTTTTGTAGTGATTTTATAACATATATATGTTATAATTTTCGAATAAATAATTATATCTTCTCTACTCTGTATTGAGCACTCTTTTAAGAATAGTATTTTGGGGGTATTGGAATGTATTCCATATACACCAATCGTATACTTATATATATATATATATAAGTATACGATTGGTTAAACGGAATCCTTGGGGGCTGTCGATAGCTGTGCTAGTACGAAATCACAAGTCATCGTGACCGAGGGTTTGAGTGTGCTGGCCTTGTTCATCACGCTAGATAACACGATCTTTCCCAGAAACTATAACTAAGGTTTGCTCAGCATAGTTGCATTATAAACGACAGATTGGCTCTGTGGGTGTTGAACAAACACAAATATGCCTAGCGAGCACCAGCAACAGGGATTTGCTTGCCGCCCTAATAGACGGTTATCCTCGAATACGAGTGGTCATATATATATATATATATATATATATATATATATTACCTTTGTGACATAAGCTATATATTCTGGTCTCGTCGGACATTTTTAAACCATTTCACCCCAAGCAAGCCCACTAGCGTGCAAGGGGTTACAGAGGGCAAGAGTAAAGAGGCGTGTTTGAGAAAAGGATCAAGAGAAGGACAGGGAATTTTTTTGCCTCTCACCATTACTCAGTTGGGAAAACAATGGGTGAGGGTACGCAAAACCAATAGTTGTAGAACGAGAGAAAAGTGTATATTTTAAAGAATAGCCGCAAACGTTTTTGGTTATGATGTGGATTTTTAATGTTTTATATTTTATTTTCCATATATTTTGCTCTACGTGTTTCGTGTCTCCTGGGCCTGCTTGGTCTTACACTGTCTGCTGACCTGAGTCTTTTGGCACTCCCGTCTTCCTTGGGTTGAAATGCTTAAAAAATACATATATGCATTGTTTTATGTATGTATCTAGAGTTATAGGAATGTTTTATTTTCCAAACACGGTCAGCACGTTGTGACCTTACATTGAATCAATAGCTTCATCTACTGCAAGGAAAATTGGCTCTGTCTGTCGCGCCAGAAGTTTTTCCCGCCTGTGTCCGTCCTTAAAAATCTATAACTCAACCATTGTTTCTTGCATGGAATACTGCTGCCATATATGGTATAGACCTCTCGCTATTTGTCTCAAGATGCTCGACAAAATCCAGAGACAACTACGCAATGAGATTGGTCCTGATCTGGCATCTCGCCTACAGTCACTTTCTCACAGACGTGCCGTCGCTTCCCTCTGTTTCTTTCTATAAATACTTTCACGGTAACTGCTCCGACGAACTACTTTCGCTGGTTCCCAAACTGCATGAATTTAAGCGTGCTACTAGGTTCACTTTTCAGTCCTAGACTTACACTGTCGAAACTGTTAACTGCACCGTCTTTTCTACTCTAATAGCTTCATGTCTCGCACTTCCCGTCTGTGGAACTCCAATCCTCTTACTTACTTTCCTGATAGCTATAATCTTCAATGGTTCAAATGCAAAATCGACATTTTCAGATGCCTTGATCTATTTCCCAGTCTTTCTCTTCATTCTTTCCTCTATCACGCCTTTTTACTCTTGCTCCTGTACTCTGTAACCCCTTCCGTGCTAGTGGGACTCCCGCCTTCCTTGGGTTGAAATGCTTAAAAAATGCATATATGCATTGTTTTATGTATGTATCTGGAGTTATAGGAATGTTTTATTTTCCAAACACGGTCAGCACGTTGTGACCGTGTTCATAGTTCATATTAGAAATATATAACTTCAGTCGAAAAAATCAAGAAAATTAAATTATTTACTATAAAATTTTCAAACTGCTAACCTCATCGTCAACAACAGTAAGTCACATGTAAGTTCCAAATTACAGAGAATCAATATTATTTACAAATTCACATGTCCCATAAGAAACTGTGTTCCTGGTCAAACCTAATTCATAAATTTCGACGTGCCTAACAAGAAAATTCACGTTCCTTCTTCTTGACCATAGCACAATTAAGTCTCATTTAAATACACACGGAAACCTACCAATCTCCACCCGCAATATACTTGTTGATAATACAAATATATCTTCATCCACGTGTAAAAAAGGCTAAAAATAATAGAAGCATTACTAATAAAAGAAAAAGAAACTGCCAACATTCAATAACATCAATTCTGAACACGGCCACAATGTACTGACCGTGTTTTGAAAATAAAACATTCCTATGACTCTAGATAAATACATAAAAATATCCATACATTAAATTCACAGTAAAAATAAAATCACCCCTGACAATGACTAAAAGGTATCACCGAAAGCGGTCGGACATATAGAACAATATCTACTTATGTCCAGAAAAGAAAATTATAAAAACAGATTAAAGATTAAATTAAAAAAAACTTAATTACAGCACCGTGTCAGTCGTTTCTAATGAAACTTGTATAAAAGAGGGTTTGCTGCCCAAATACACAATTTATATATATATATATATATATATATATATATATATATATGTGTGTGTGTGTGTGTGAAGAAATATAGTCTTAAGATGTGCTATATTTATGGGATAAAGTGATCAATATCAGAAATAGAGCGTGTTTAAATATAAAAGTGAACATAGAAGTCAACGCTTAGAGGCGACAGTCTGTTTCATGCTATATGCAATTGTCAGGCCAGAACGTGGCCTGACGATTACATCTAGCATGAAACATGTTCACTTATATATATATATATATAATGTAATTATTTTTAATCAGATATTTTCAAACGTTATTTTTAGTGGATACTCTTGTTGGAAATAAACGTCTGGTCTGTATTTTAAACAGTGTGTATTAAATCTTCCAGCCTGCGTACCAGAAAAAACATAAATAAAATGCGTTCCTCAAGTTTTCTCGAACGTTTATTTCAAACACGGGTATCCACTAAAAATAACGTTTGAATTAATATATATTTGTGTCTATTTAACTGTACATATTTGTGCATATACAAAGAGAAAGATACAGGTATAAATTAAGAATTGTATATGTCCATATACATACTTGTACATATGTGTCCTTGTGTATGTATGCGTGCACATATATGTCTATATGTGAGGAAGCTATAAAAATAACATGTCTGATGATAGTATAAATATTAATAAACTGCAAAGTTTGCGTTTCGATTTTCTTTATTCACTTTGCCTTGTCGAACTTATTTGGATTTGACGAGAGAGGGAAGTCATTGAGTTGACATTTCAAATAAAATAGATTTTCTTTTAAATCTTCTAGTTTTTATATGCTTCTATGATACCAACTTGTGAGTCGTAACTATGGAAAACGCTGTACTAACATATACATTTGCACATACATGAAATACATATATATATATGTATATGTGTGTGTGTGTGTGTGTAAATATACATACGGAATCATTAATTTTAAACAATTTAAAGACAAAATCTAAGGTGATATGAAACTAGAACTGATTGACTGTATTCATTTAATCGTCTTTTGTTGTACTTATTGTATTTTAGACGCCACGCGTGATCAAATCATATCCACCAATCAAATTTCTCCTTCGCTTTTTATGTCATCCTCTCGAATTTTCCCTTAAATCTCCCCCGCCTCGTATGTGTCTTTCTTTCTCTCTCTCTCTCTCTTTCTCTTTTCATCCTCATTCGTGTTCTTTTACTCTCATTCTCTCAGCACTTTCGTGTTTTTCATTACTCGCTCGTAACTTTCTCTTTCTCTCCTCGTTCGTGTTAATCTCCTTCTTCGTTCGTGTCTTTCTCTCTCCTCATTCGTATCTCTATCTCTCTCACTTCTTGTTTGTGTCTTTATCTGTCTCCTCGTTCGAGTTTTTCTCTCTGTCGCTACTCGTTCGTGTCTTTATTTCTCTCCCTATTCCTTCATGCCTTTCTCTATGTCCTTTCTCGTTCGTATATTTCTCTCTTACACGACTCGTTCGTCTCTTCGGTCGTGACTTCTCTCTCTCCCCCTTCTCCTTCGTGTCTTCTCTCTCCCCCTTCTCCTTCGTGTCTTCTCTCTCCCTCCTTTCTCCTTCGTGTCTTTCTCTCCCTCCTTTCTCCTTCGTGTCTTTCTCTCCCTCCTTTCTCCTTCGTGTCTTTCTCTCCCTCCTTTCTCCTTCGTGTCTTTCTCTCCCTCCTTTCTCCTTCGTGTCTTTCTCTCTCCCCCTCGTCATTCGTGTCTTTCTTTCTTTCTCTCGCTCCTCTTTCGTGTCTATTTCTCTCTTCTTTCTCGTGTCGCTTTCACCCTCCTCTTTCGTGTTTCTCTCTACTTGCTTGATTTTGATGTCATGAATACGTAGCTTAGCGTTGTTTCTTTTACTGACAACTATGCTTTTTTGCCTTCTTACTGTTAACAGTTAATTCTTCTTATTATTATTTCTTACTTATCGTTACTACTTTGCCTAATAGTTCCTTGAATTTTCTTTCTGTGTCTACTATCAACACAGTGTCATCTCATATTGATAAGGTGTACTCATTCACAATCAACTACAGTTCTTCAAAGATGCCAAGTAACAATGGCCAGGACATAGCCACTTCATAAAAACCAATTCTTCTAAATTCCAGACATCACAAAATCACTCTTGTAGAGTCTTTGATAAAATTCTTGGAACTGGGCCAAAATTTGAAAATTTTCAAAATATTTTGTTAGGTTTCCATAAACCACTGAAATAGTTCTCCTTCTGATTAACGCGCTGATTTCCAGAGGTCAATTAAGAAGTCTATCTTGAAACGACGACGTTTTTTCTTTCTTCTTTTTATTTTTTAATCGTATTCACCTCAAGCAAGGCAGTAAAGCCACTGAGAAACAAGGGATTAATGGGTGTGAAAGAGAAAGATAAACATTGCTAAGGAGCCAGAACAAAAAAAGAGTAATCAGGAGGCCAGTAAATAGCGATTGACGTTACATTTAATTTCTTTCAACTTAAAGTTGGCAGAAAGTATGGAGCTGGAACAGAGTTCCACAAGCAAGAAGTACGAGCAAAGAAACTGTTAGCATAGAAATTTCGGTTAGATCTAGTCAGCTCAACTGTAAATTTATGAGATCTTGACGCCAGTCTAGTACCGTACTTAAGTTCAAAGAATCTAGGCACCATAGCGAAGAGCGATATTTATTTCCACTTCAATACAGAAAATGTGGCACAAGGCCGGGAATAGGGAAAAAGACAGTCTTGTTCTGTTTTAAATTTAAACTTAACTAGCAACAAACACTGACCCAAACATACCACAATATTCCTAACACCAAAACAACACATTCTTACTTACCTTTCTTACTACATGCACCCAAATACATCATTGTCTCTAGGAAAATCCTAATTAATTCCCATATGTATAATTCACTTCATGGCGAAGACCGAACAATATCCATAAAAGTATATATAGAAAAGGAAATGGCGGGCAACCTTACGGTGATGTAAAAGTCACTGAAGCCAAGATGCCAGATCCGGGCCAATAATATTGCTGATTATTCTTTGGATCTTATCAAGGATCTCTAGATAAATATCAGGAGCACCGGACCATATGTGGCAGCAATATTCTAAGCTTAGATGAATGGTAGACATAGATATGTAAGACAGATTTTGGAGAGAAAAATTGTGATTTGTTAAACTTACGTAATAGAATAGTTATCAGATGTTTCATTTATTTGTCATATTTTCAATAAATTGTTCCCATAAAAATGTTTTTATTTGCCAGTACAATTTTTTTCTTCGTAGATGTCAGACAGCAGATATTTGCGTTAAAAAAACAATCCTAACTCTCGATCCTTGGGTGGCAAGAATACAAAAACGAGATAATTCATGGGAGGCATCATCCAAGTGACTGCCATCCAGTAGATATCTCGTGATTGGCACTCAGTGTGTTAACTTTTTTCGAAGAAATTTCGCATCTATTTTTCTACGTCTTGGCCATTAATTCTTCTTTTATTATTTTAATTTTTTTATTCTGCAGCATGCAATATTCGTCTTATTTCTAGCAGGTTTGTGTACTAAAATATAACCCCAAATATGACCTTTTGATTAAATTTAGCGAACCGCAATGCTCCGTCACTGGTCCCTAGTTTCAGTCGTATAGTGTTAATGATAGGAAGATATGTGCATTACAGCTCAGAGCAATATTTGATATTCAAGAACGCAAAAGACACTCGAAGAATGCAAGTCATATAAAACCGAAATAGCAAAATAGTCTTTACCCAAGCATATAAAATAATTACATACGAGCAGCATGTATATTTGGAATCTTTTATAAAAGTCTGTTATGTGGATTGTGGAGAGCCATGATCGCCAACATCGTGAAGAGACATGGCACACAGAAGAATATTATTGATCAAATACAACCCTCTTTCTTTTAACAGTTTTTAAAGATACTAAATGTTGCAATGCACACGAAAATCACTGGACATTGTTTTCTTTACTGATCCCTTTAATAATGGCAATAAAACTTCAAAGATATAAATTCATGCACTATCATTTCTTAGCTTAAACTTCAAAATTCTTTCTCACTAAAAAGGAGAATTATTTCAGCATTTTCCGACTTAAAAGATTAAAAATATGAAGTTAGACGCTTTTGACATGATTTGTAATAAATCAATTTGCACAAATTACATTAAATTATTAAACTATCTTGACTTTTTTTCATCTGCCAGGTAAACGCAAACTATAATCTCAATTCTTTCGAATGCAAACTCTTTCAAATGTCAGGTTTTGATACTTTTAATTTAATATTCGATTCTTTAAGAAGTTATTCGAATAAATAATGAATAAGTCAGATTTGGAGAGGTATGTTGTTTAATAAGTATGTATATAAGCCAAGAAGCACAGAAACCGCTCGAACTCTATACTGTAAAATTACTATGTAGCAGCCACGCACAGAATTTCACCATCGAAAAACACACGCTTGATAATGGCTAGAAAAATAGACCAAAACGAACGGAACAGTTATAACTATGGACATTTCCTGTATTCTTTACGGCTTGAAAAACGTAAAAATGTTAGATAGCTGGAAAAAAGTCAATAAAAAATTAATTAAATCTTCCTTATCGGCCGTTTTCAATAAAAGATGCATGAAAGAAAGGTTACTGCCCAAATACACATCAATACACACACACACACACACATATATATATATACATACATATATATATACATATACATACATATATATATATATATATACATATGCGTGTATATATATGAAATGGACAAAGTCCGCCAATTATTTTAAGACATTTTTTATGTTTATACGTTCTTTTTTTATAGATACAAATATTTAAGCCAATGCTCTGTTGATAATAAGTATTATAATAATAATATATAATATGCGTCCTGTCGGAGGACGCATATTTTCTATGAAAATTTCTCGGACATTAAGGCCAGTAAATACCGTTAATACTGTTTATTATAAACAGAGCATTTACTTAGATATTAGTATCTATATAACGGAACGGATAAACATAAAATAGATTTATATATATATATATATATATATATATATATATATATATATATATATATATATATATATATATCTGGCACTGCTGAAAAGTCACACACACTGGTTTTTTTGGGGGGGTGGGGAGAATTATCTCAGCAACACAAAGGTGAATAAGAATGGGGAACATCAACTAATATGAAATATCCTGTAAGCATGGTGATATTCAGACGGCAATAAAATATTTTTTGTGTCTTCTTTATAAGATGTAAATTAGATATAGTATAAAGGTGTCTACTTGTTTCAAAGATTCCTCTAAAATCATTTCTTCTTTCGTTCTTGTCAATTTTGCCATCTTTGACCTTCAGTTCGTTCCTTACTTTTGGTCCTTCTCTTTTGTTTTTCTTTCTTTTGTTTTTCTTTCTTTTGTTTTTTTCTTTTTATTTGGTTTCTTTTTTTTTTTTTTTATTTATTTTTATTATCACTTGTTAAGCTTAGCTTACTTTGGTGTAAAACTACAAATATCGGGAACCCAGGAAAGACGGAACTCGCGAACGAGTTCGCTTACCATGACCCAACCACGAAACGACCGTTTATTACTGTTGTCAGCTTGAAATGTTTAACGATTTTTTTAGCATTTTTTCGTTTATCCTTTATTTAGAGAAGAAAGCATTCAATAAACTGC